TCAAAGAAGTAAATTTCATGAGTAACTAGGAATTGTTAGTTTTTGTGGTATGTTTGCAGCTTTTTCTTATTCTGAGCAGACTCTGTAATATTCCACTTCAATCCCTCTAAGCTGACAGGAGAGCGTGTACTTCACAATCAAAGTGATTCATGCAATTACATGAGCCAGTGCAGAGTAAGGGAGTGAGAATCCCTAATCTAGAACATTAGCACTTATCTGTTAAATGCTCTTTTTTTACATACTGCAGAACCATCATCTTATTCCTTACATAAGGTTCTTCAGGGACTACTATGACAACAGCAATGCTGAAAAGCAGCGTAATGAGACACCAGGAGCACTGGGAACAGATCACATAACAGCAGCTCATTACAACTATTTCTTGTCTGACCCCAGAAATAAAATCACTTGTGGATGCTTTTTTAATGCTGAAGTTCTTTGTCAATCTGTTTCATTTTTATTCATATATTCACAATATATCTGTTTATACACTGATTGTTGACTTGGTCTGCAAGATTTTATAACTAAGAATAGAACAGTGTGGCTATTCCCAGGGGATGACAGTATTCCTGAAATCATGCCAGAGACATTGCAGTTTGTTGATCTATTGGAAAGGTCATGGAGATGAGCTACCAGAATCACTTGTTGGTGACAAAAATATTGCTGTGCAGTGAAACAGGTACTGTGGAATTTGCTCCCAGCTTATTAGAAATGGAAGGTGAAAATTTCTGATATTAGAGGGCTTAATATCATATGCTGGTCCAAATCAGTGGAATTCAAACAGGAAATGAGGTTTTAAGAGTTGGAGAAGTTTGCTGAGGGAAGTTGTCTTCGTTGTTGTAAGCCAGTGCTTGATATCTCTTAACTGCTTGTTTAAAACACAGTTTATCTCTACATTTTGGATTCATCAAAAAAAATTTATAGATTGATTTGGTAGGAATTCAGCCAACAGTGCCTCTTCTAATCCCAACATCAGCATTTGTGTTTAGGCTTTTTAGAAATTAGTTTAAGTGACGTCAGAAGAGGCCAGGCATGAGCACGAGGTGCGTGGATGCTGCTGCTCTCCTCACCTGCCTCCCGTCCCGGGGCAGAAAGGTGCTGAGCTCTCAGCCAGTGCTACAAGCTCCCACAAGCAGCAGCCCCATGGACGTCCCCAAAGGCAATCCCACGTGTGAGAATTGCGTCTCACAGCCTGAACTGCCTCTCGTTTTCTCCCCATGATGCAAACCGCTGTCTGTGTGATCCAGCCTCACACAGGGGGTGCCCAGACTTGCCAAGCCACTCACACCTCGGAGCCCAGCTGGCTTTTGCAGTCTCGGGGAGAGCTGCAGGTGTGAAGCCTCCGTTTCTCTGCCAGACCGCTGCTGGTAACTTGAGAAGGCACTGGCCAACTCCAGCCACATCAGAGAGAGAGAGGCAGGAAACTTAGAAGTCATTTACAAAAATATTTGTAGCTCAAACAAGCATAAATGGTGGTTGTGTAAATGCTGGGGACCCAAATTAATGTCAGCAGAAATTGTCTATTCTGCCTCGTGTACAGACCTCAGGAGAGAAGACAAATGATTGAGAAGAGTCTTGGGCTGTTTGTCTGCCAACCTCTACTTCACTGAACATTAATTATTGACCTAAAGCAGTAATGCTGGATGAAATAAGGACTACATCCCAACTCAGGGTACAGCTTAGAAATTTATTCTTGAATGGCTTGTGTTTGGGTTATTTCAGGCACTACAGGCAACTGATTTGAGGTCTTTCATGCCTTGGGTGAACTTTACAACTAGACTATACATTTATATATATCTGATATAAATAAATACATTCTCCCTCTACAAGAGTCAGCAAGCTTTTACCATTTTGCTGAATCAAGACCATTTTTGGATATACAGTGTCAAAGATTAGACAAATTAGATGCTGTCATTATTAAGAGAGTTTTTAGGGCAAAAAGATAATTCTCCTGTCTCACATTACATGCTTTTTCTCAATTCTTTTATGAGAAAATTATCTTTTTAGATAGCTGATGTATTCATATTCTTAGTCTTCAAAATTCTGTAAACTCTGTAGTGCATTATCATTTGAATATGCCAAATAATTATTTGAATGCCTACTCATAGATAGTCTTCAGTAAAATTAAGGCTTTGAGAAGAGCCAGAGAGGCCCACCAACTGCATTCATGAGAAATCAAATCACTGGGCACTGAGAGGATTTACATTTAAGACTGGGCACTGTGAGGATTTACATTTAAGATGTGGATTTTTACTACTTTTGCAGTAAAACAATTGTAATGACACTGAAATTCAGAAAGTCATCTCCTCAGCTTTCACCTTTTCTTTAAGAACAGGAATGATTTAATAGGAATTAATTAATATCTCATTACAAGTTTGTAGTCACCCAAAGGCCGTATAGATGTGAATGGTCTCTTCTGATAGCAAACCAGCTTTAGCTCAAGTTGGTAGTAAGAATATTCACATTAGGGTGGCTTCCAGTAAGTCTGTAGCATCCCCATTGTAATGTATAATGCTGCCCTTCCAGGCTCAGGATTGACAACCTTTCATAAATGATACTTTTTATGTCAAATATCTTTTACAAGAAATTACTGAGTCTACACAAGCCTGCACAAAATTCTTCCCTTCCCCCTTATTATTTCTCCTCAATGCTATAGTGTTTTTGGAGGATCAGGAGGTTTAGAGCTGAAAGTGATTGTTTGTTTTTGTAAGTTCTGGACACCTGGAGATTGTGAAAATAATCATTCCTGGCTTACATTCATTTTTAGTTTCTAGGATACAAACAGAATTTAAAATAAGCTAATCCCTTCACCTGGTTTAAACTGCCAGTGCTTCATGCAGCAACATGAGTTTACAACAGCTAAGGATACATCCCAGTTATTTTTAATCCTTTCACGTCAAAATTGCCTTATCCCAATTTGCTTTTAAAGCATCCTCGGAGTAAACCCTATTTACCCAGCCCATATTTATCTTGAGCGCACTTGTACGAAACAACCCTAAGCACCCAAAAAGGCCACGTTTGTAATGAAAACACCTCCAGACAGACTGACCCCCCGAGGGGAGGCCACCCAGGAATGGATTGGACAGCTCCTGACCGGGGCTGAACCGAGCGGGAGCGCGAGAGGCTCGGTGCTGCTGCTCCCCTTCAGCCACGCTCAGCCTCGCCTCAGCCAAGGTAACCAGCCTGGCTGAGGGCTCAGGGAAATGGGGGCTCTGCAAAGGCTCAGCCTTCCCCGTTGGGATAAAAATATAAACTGAAAAATCTGTGGAAAATGGGACCTGCTTGTGAGAATGGGACACGGTGGAGGAGGGGAGTAGAATAAAGAGAGATGGAAGTAGGAACAGAGAGGCAGGGAAAGGGATAAAAAGGGAGTTAGGAGGGAGAAGAAAGGCAAAAAGAAGCATAAAGAGCTGGAAAAGTAAGGAAAATAGAGAAGAAATGGAGTGAGAAAGGCCAACAGGCCTTTCCTGTTGGAACAAAAGTATAAAATGAAAAATCCTGGAAAAACGGGACCTACTTGTGAGAAAGGGACACACTGGAGGACAGGAGTAGAATAAAGGGCACAGAGAGATGGAAGTAGGAACACAGAGGCAGGGAAAGGGAAAGAAAGGGAGTTAGGAGGGAGAAGAAAGGCAAAGGAAGCATAAAGAACTGGAAAAGTAAGGGAAAGAGAGAAGGAGTGAGAGAAGAAGGGAAGGAAATACTGTATGTGTTTTAGTGATGTCCTCCTCTCACAGAGGATGGAGGTGCCCAAAGAAACCACCATTTTCATTTTGGAGAAACCACCATTTTGAGTGGTCAGGCCTTGATTTGTGCTGAATTTCAGTGGTGTGCATGTAGAAATAGGTGCTCACTGAGACCACGAGAGCATGCCTGGCATTTGTGCTGGAAGGAGCCAGTGGGGCACAGCTCCTGGAATGGGGTTCTCTGCTCCCAGTGCTCCTTCTTCTCACTGTCTTCCCATGGATCTTTGGTGGAGCAGCCCTGCTGAAGAAGAAAGCTGTTTTCCTCTTGTGCCCCTGGCTGCCATGGGAGCTGGGAGGGCTTCAACAGAGGCAGAGACTGTTTGTGGCAAGGAGGGGAGAACCAGAGAACTGGAATTCAAAGGAGTTCTGGGCTTCCAGTAGGAATTGGGATTGGTCCCATTCTTACTCAGACTGTGGGGTACTTTTGATGCTGCTCTGCCCCAGACAAGATGAGCACAGCCTGTGTGTCCCCACATGGCCATGCCCACAGCTCTGCCAGGTGTCAGCAGAGGCTGGGCTGGGGGCTACAGGTGGTTTCTGTTCACAGAGGGAGCAGGGACAACACTGGATCTGGGTCTGCTGCTGGCCAGGGAGCAGAGTGAGCATGGGCACTGGTCAGTGCTGGTTCCAGTGGCTGTGGGCTACCACTGCCCCACTGTGGGATGTGCTCTGACCCGCTGTGGAATGCCCCCATCCTGCTGCAGGTTCTCCTCAATACCTGCTGTGTCCTGCCCCCAACTTGCTGCATGATGTTCCCAGTATGCTGTGGGATATTTCCCCCCTAAACTGCCGTTGGATGCCTCCCTGCTCCCTCATCTGCCGTGGGATGTCCATAACCAGCCTTGGGATGAACCCCTAGACCTGCTGTGGGATATCCTCATACCTGCTAGAGGGTGAACCCCAGCCAGCCCTGGGACGACCCCACCACGCCAGCTGTGGAAAATCCTTCAGCCACGCTGTGGGATTTTCCGTCAGCACTGGGATGTTCCCCCAAAACCTCTGTGGGATGTTACCCCCTAACCCAGGCCCCCCAGAGCTGATGTCGCCAGCATGCTGTGGGATGTTCCCCCATCCCGGCGCTGCCCCCCCGCCCGCAGCCGCGCACCTGGGCGCGGTGTGTGCGCGCGGCGCCCGCGGCCGCGGCGCTGCCGGGCGGGGGTGACTCAGCCCCGGCTTTAAAACGGCGGGGCGGCTCCGAGCCCGGCTCCGCTGCGCCGCACCGCGCCCGCGGGGAGCGCCGGGGCCGCGGCACCGCACCATGCGGAGCGTGCGCGGAGCCCCGCCGGCGCCGCTGATGCTGCTGGCGCTGCTGGTGCTGCTGCTGGCCGCGGGGCACGGAGCCGTCATCACCGGGGTGAGCGCCGCCGCTCGGCACCGACGGCACCGACGGGACCCGCGCCGGCAGGGACGGAGGGAGGGAGGGAAGGACAGAGGGCTCCGCCGCGGCGGCGGGGACGGGAGTCGGGGTTTGTTCGCGGGGAGCGATAGCGGGAACTGCCCGGGATAAGGGGTGCCCTGCTGAGAGGGCAGCGCTCTGCCGTGCGGGGTGCCCGGAGAGGGCAGCGCTCTGTCCTGCGGGATGCCCTGGGAGAGAGGAGCGCTCTGCCGTGCGGGGTGCCCGGAGAGGGGAGCGCTCTGTCCTGCGGGATGCCCGGAGAGGGGAGGGCTCTGCCCTGAGGGGTACCAGGGGAGAGGGGAGGGCTCTGCCGTGCTGGGTGCCCGGAGAGGGCAGCGCTCTGCCGTGCGGGGTGCCCGGAGAGGGGAGCGCTCTGCCGTGCGGGGTGCCCGGAGAGGGGAGCGCTCTGTCCTGCGGGATGCCCTGGGAGAGGGGAGCGCTCTGCCGTGCGGGGTGCCCGGAGAAGGGAGCGCTCTGTCCTACGGGATGCCCGGAGAGGGGAGCGCTCTGCCCTGCGGGATGCCCGGAGCCGCTCTCTGGGTGAGCACTGCCGAGACTCGGGGTCTGTCCGCACTCAGCCATGCCAGGACGGAGCGGTGCCGAGTGCGGTGACGGACGGCCAGAGCCGGGATAAGTGATAACGAGGACGTGGCAGGGAAAGCAGCGCCAGGTGATGAGAGGTGACAGGGCTTGGGGGCCCGTCTGGGATAGGTGATACTGGACGTGGCATCTCTAGGGGATGAGGGACGCCCGGAGCTGCGGGTGGGTCTGGATTCAGTAGTATCAGAGCCTGGGGGTCTCTGCGGTGAGTGATGCCAGGATGTGCCAGTCTCTGCCGTGGGCAATGCCAGGACTCGTGGGTCTCAGAGGTGAGGGGATGCTGCAATGTGGGGTCTGCTCCTTTGGAGTGAGGGATGTCTTCAGGGGGGGTTCCAGGCTGGTCTGAGAGCATGCAGAGATTCCTGCTGCTTTGTCAGGGCTGGAGCTGTCTCCCATCTCCCTGCATGCAGCTCCAGCTGTCCCCAAACCTGCTCTGAGAGGGTCTGGCTCAGGGCATTGCACTGCCCACCGTGCTCCCCAAGTTTCTCCAGCCCCTCCGTGTACAGGGCAGGATTACAATCCTCGGAAAACTCTGTTTTCCTTCTTTTATTTTCTTTGTCTATGACTGTGTTGCTTTTCCCCCTCAATAGCCACCCCTTGCAAACAAGTCTCTGTTGTTGTTGTTTTTAGGCTCAAGATTTACTCTGGTTGTGAAAATACTTTTTTTTCCTAAAGACGTTATTTAACCCAAAGCATTGCATCACTTGTTAGTTAAACGATTTTTAAGTGTTTGCTTTGGATTAATAACTCAGCATTTGCATTCCTTTGAGAGCTCACATGTCTTTTATAACCATCAGAAGTTGCACTCACAGCAGTGGATTTCTCTGTGGCTGTCCAGGCTCCCTGTCCAGACCCCTGAAGTCCATGAAACAGCTTATGGGCATTTCTCTGGAAGTCAGATCAGTTCCCAGGACTGATTATTTTTTTTTTTTTCTTTTTTTAGAGCAGAGAATGTGAAGGAATTTTTTAATAATTGAGGATTTCAAGTTTCTTCTAAGTAGAAACATTCCCAGCAACAGAGGAGGAGTTTATCTGTTATTAGAGTTGTGGCTACACCTTTAAAGCATAATTAATCCATTAATTAATCCATTAAATAAAGTAATTGTGAGACACTGAATAATAGATCAAGGACAAGGCAGATTCAAAAAAGTAAAAATAGATTAAAACTAGAAAATGTTACTTTATTAACTATTGCAGAGCATTTCTGCTTAAACCACTTTGATGCATTTTTGGCTTTTAATGAACAGGCAAATCTTAGATGAGAGCTGACGTAGGTGTTCCCCAACCCCTGAGCCTGAAAGGTGTTTTTCCTTTGCAATTTAAGGACTTTTTTCAAACTTTCCTCAATTCAGTGGTGGTTCTTGTGCTGAAACCTGTTCCCTTTGCAGCTGGCATTTCATCTGGGACATATTCTTGGGCTGATTTTTGAGAAAACTGTGTTTAAATGAGGTGCTCATGTGGTGTTTGGGGAAGTTTAGGACTAGCAGCAGGAATTACCCATTGCAGATAAGATGTGGGCAGGAACACTTGGGTTGAATATTTTCAAAACTTGTCATACATTTTTGGAAATGGAGCCTTAAAAGTTCTGCCAGATGTAAATATGTGTGTGTGAGGTCAGGAAAGAAATTGTTCAGCCTGGGCATTCAAGACTCTTGTTTGCTAGAACATACCCAGGTGGGTTTTTCAACTGAGTGGTATTTCACCCCAGGACCAGTCCCACAGAGCTGAATGGAGTTTGAGATATATAACAGAGAACAAAAGGGAGTCAGGAGCTGGCAGGTGAGAAATGGCAGAGCCTGTGACTCCAGCTGAGCAGTGTGCTGTGGGCAGCCAAAATCACAGGACCTGCATTTTTATTTGTGACTATGGCAAAATAATATAATTAGAATGCTTTTAAAATTATTTTATATATATATATATTTAAGAGAGCGGTCAGAAAGTGAGTATTACCTACCTGGCAGGCTGGAGTGGTAGTTTTATGGCCATATTAGTCTTATAAGCAAATGCTCTGTGTTTGGGCTTACCTGGAGCACAGAGCTCTGTGTTTAGGAGCTGTTTGGGTCACACACACTATTTAATAATGATCCTAATGCAACAGCTTCTTCCTAAACTACTGACTGAGCTTTAAACTTGTATTTTGATCTGGCTTCTGCTGGTCACTGCAATATTTACCCAGTGAGTACAGTCTAAAGCCATTTATCATGTAAATCCCAAGGTGAGATCAGTGAGTTTTCCCCTCAAGAGCATGTTTACTCTGGGAATGTGCCTTCCCCAGAGCTGTTATCAACATTTACGTATGTTTTTATGAGTTTCCCATTTACGTAGTGCTGACCAGTGCCTTCCATCTCTCACTGCTGCTGCCAGACACTCAGAGCAGTGAGTTAATCAATTTGGGATGTAAGCAGGACCTTTAACTGACGGCATTTCTCACTGGAGGAAGGAGACTGGCTTTTGCATTAAATCTATATAAGCTTTTGATTAAAAAGTCACTGAAAGATGTACAGTAGCTTGTTTTCAAACCCTCATGTGTCAATTGCTCTTCATGGTTTGTGGGTTTTAAAACATACCCACTAGTTTGCATTTTGGTTTTTGCTTATCTAAGCTGTATTGGGTAAGTGGCTAAAATTTTTTTTTTGCCTCCCGTGAAGGAGAATGCTACCACAGCAGCATTTTTTTGGATATGAACACTTATGCAAAGCTTTTCTTAAGACCTCTTTTAGCTATGTGTAATTCTAGATAACAACCACAGAATCCACATTTAAACTTCTGTTTTAGCTACTTCCACTTGGACTTCTCTAACAAAACTCTCATGCAGTCTTGCAAGGGCACTCACAACCATGATATCATCATACAAAGTTAGAAGGAATAGTTACCTGAAAGTCATTCAATTAATGGATGATTTCCTATCTCAGCTTCTCCATAAGACTGGTTTGGTGACTCTTTTGGTGACAAGTTTAGTGTGGTTGGTCCTTGCTCCTGCCTGAGCTCACTCAGGCACCGATCTGGGAGCCAGGAAAGCGTGTGGCACATGCCATGGTCTACCAGTGCTCAGAAGTTTGGACTGTAAATCACTGACAGTCCTGGGTTTGGCCCAGAGCAGCTCTGTGTGTGGCCCTGGCTTTAAACAACCTGGTCTCAACTCCAAAATGTGCCAGGAGCCTGCACGTTCCAATCCATGGGAGACACAAGTATTGCAAATCAGTCTTAAATCTTATTATTCAGCCTTAATGAGCCATGATAACTTAGGGGTGCCAGAGGCAGCTCCTGAGCACCTGATCTATCCTATTTCTGGATTCCATTTATTATTAATGTAATTTGCTTAATGCTGTGTTGAACTCCAGGCCTGCGACCGAGACCAGCAGTGCGGGGGCGGGATGTGCTGCGCCGTCAGCCTCTGGATCCGCAGCCTGAGGATGTGCACCCCCATGGGAAACCTGGGAGACGAGTGCCACCCCTTGAGTCACAGAGTGAGTACCTCACCAGGGGGGCTGGGGGGGCTGCAGGAATATCCTGAGCTGTACATCACATGGTATAAAGCCTAGACGTGGTGGAAAGGCAGGGAAGCTTCCCATTCCTTACAATATCCAGCCACCTGCATCTGTACGGGAACAGAGATGGAGGTACCTACGTAAGGAAGTGCATTACTGTCAGAATTATGCTGAAGAGAATCAGAGGATGAAAGCACTACATGCTTGCCAGATTGTTTTCTTATTAGTTTGTTGTTGCTGCTTTGTTTTGTTGCGTGATCCCAAACAGAGCTGGCAGTTCCCAAGCCCAGCCCTGCCAATCCCTCCTGTGTGAGCAGGAGCACAGCAAGTGCCACCAACCCCAGTGGCAGTGGATGAGATCCTGTCACAAGCACAAAAATGTCACCAGTTGGTGTTGGGGCACCTGATGTGTTGAGAAAGTGTTGACACACATTTGGACTTGAGAAAAGTGCCCACAGGCTCTCTTTGTTTCTGTTCTACCTATTCATTTTAAATATCTGTGTATATATACATATATACACACACACTGTATTATTAATACAGTGATTTTAACAAGTGCATTTATTTAAGGCTATGTAATTGTGTATTTGTCATGCAGTATGAAAAAAGCTGCTTATTTAAAACACAAAAGACTGAATGGCATGTTACCAGGGAGCTTGAGAACCTGATGATCTTCAGAGTCATCCTCAGGGAAGAACACAGCCCAAGAGTCATCACAAGTGGAAGATATAAGGCAATAAATCCAGATCATAAATGTGCAGCTAGTTAGCTGCCTCTCTCACTGTTTCCCCCAAGGCCTGGCTTCTCAGTTTATTGTCTCAGCTTTAGGAAGTTTAAGGCTCTATTTTACTGCAGTTAAATTTTTAAAACTTCTGCTGTGATATTGGGGACCAAATGGACATTTTTACTGCGTAATGTAGTAGGTTCTTCTTGCAAGGCTCTTTCCATTACCAGGAATTAGGATAAGAGAAATTGTCTTCTAGAGGGTTTTATGAGCTTATTGTTATTGGGCAATAATTTAAACTGTCTGATATATTTCAAGCTGATTGCCTGCGTAACTACAATCAGAGTAGATGCCTGTCCACCCTAGACACTAAGTCACTGATGTTTATAAGCTTTATGAAGTTAATTTTAATTTCTCCACTGATCTTCCTGAGAAACACAAAGCAAATTGATTTACTGGAGAATGTGAAATGGGGTTATTTTAAAGATGAAGGGTTAGCTCAGTGGTTCCTTTCTTGTAAATACTAGTGTAGGGAGCAGCTGCCCTGATCACCAAAACTTTTCATTTACCAGCAGGATAGGTCAAAAGCAGGCACCACCATGGCCATGGCACCTCGGGGACATCCAGAGGAGCCAGGAGATAACTGGAGGACATGGCTGGCAGCTGGGGTTCCACCTTCTAGTTTCCTTCTCAACAACTAGACGGTGATGGACTGATGCCATTAGCAGTCCCAGCTGGAATTTCGAGGCTGAGTCTGAGGCAGGGCCAGGCAGGGTTTGCAGGCAGGTGACGTTTGGCAGCATGGGGAATGAAAGGAACATTTCCTTGAAGCAATGGAATGTTTAGAATAAATCACCTGAGCTGTCAGAAGGCTGAGAGCTCAGGTTTTGGGTTTGGCTGCAGTGCTGGGTGTGGGCACCCAAAAGGATGATTCCCATGGGGAGTCCCCAGCAGGTGTGGGAGGTTGGTGCCTCTGCTCACACTGGAGCAGAGGGGCTGTGGTGGGTGGCACAGGGAAACCCACAACATCTCTTGCCCTGGGGCTGCTCTTCAGATGGTGCTGGTGCTGGCCCAGGGCACTGGGGTGATTCCCATGGGGAGTCCCCAGAGAGGCTGGTGCCTCTCTGCTCACACTGGAGCAGAGGGGCTGTGGTGGGTGGCACAAGGAAACCCACAACATCCCTTGCCCTGGGGCTGCTCTTCAGGTGGTGCTGGTGCTGGCCCAGGGCACTGCAGGGGATGTGAGCCCTCTGGCCACCTCCTGCCCCCAGCAGGCTGTCACTGAGTCAGGCTGGTGCTTGGCACCATGCATGGAGGACTGTGTGGGACTTTCTTAAAGACAAAATTTGTGCACTGACACAAGAAAATCTTGGAATATTACAGTGTTAGGCTTCAACCACACAGAAATCTGGAACTGAGGGAATTAGAGCTGCCTGCCTGGCTGGTAGCAGAGGCTTTGCACCTCTGTGCCTCCTTTGCTGCATCCAGGGAATGCTCAGTGTGTGCTGCCAGCTGGCAGCACCACAGCTCCCAGACACTTCCCACTGGGCTGTCCTTTTTGGCTCCTGTAAGAGACAGAGCTTGTGACCAAGTTCTTGAAGATTGTCAGTGCGTGTGCATGTCACGGCACAATTAAATTTGTCTAATGTACTCCATATGTGCTCCCTGCAGCACAATGTGGCTGGAGAGGGTGGGATGAAATGAGAAACCTCTGTCCTGTGTGGAAACGATCCTGCTCAAAGGGGGGTCAGGCAAGGTGACCTCCAGAGGTCCCTTCCAGCATGATTACCACGGGATCCCAAGGTTCCCAGGCCCTGCTCTGTGCCATGTGACAAGGCAGGATTCAGGACACGCAGAAAGCCCTGCACAGTGGCACCACAAAACGTGATGTTAAAGGCCAGTGTAGTTTCACAACAAACTCCTTTATGAAATGGGAGTAAATGGAGAACATGTGTCACAGATGTAGATTCACAGAGCAACATGACTGCTAAACATCCTGCTCTTAACCGTGGCTGGACCTGGGTGTACAACGGGGCTGCCTTTGCCATCTGCTCTGTGCTGCAGCTCCTGGGGAACTCTGGCTGTGAAGGGAGGGAACTGGGCAGCATTCCCCATATCCCCATTATTCCTCCCATTTCATCCCCCCAGCCACCAGTGCCGTGGCTCTCCCTGTCACTGATTGTGGGAAATAGTAAATATGCAATTAGCTAAAAAGTTTTTAAACGCTCTGTGACAAAGAAATCTTTGGCTGCTGCCGTCTGTACGTAAGCTTTGGCCATCTTCCTATTGTCTCAACCATGTCATGAGGCTGATGCTCAAGGAACGTACCCCAGCAGTCCCATCCTCTTTGTGAAAAGCTGAAAATAACCAATGCCATCACAGCTGATGTCCTTGCTCTGTCCCCAGGTGCCCTTCTCCGGGCGGCGGATGCACCACACCTGCCCGTGCCTGCCGGGCCTGGCCTGCCTAAGGACTCCTCACAGCAGGTTCAGGTGTTTACCAGACTTCAGGAAAGAAGACGTCTTTTTTTAGCAGGAACTCTTCTGCACTAGAAAGAGCCGCTCAGTATTTTCGTTCTCTCGTTGTTGTGACAAAAAGAAAGGGTTGCTTGCCAGGGGAAACCCTTCACCACACTTCCCTGCCTCACCAACATCCGCTGGAGATGAGACGCTGCTGTTGTGGCCAAGGTTTTCAGGAGGGACTCGCAGTGGAGGATGATTTCATTTTGGGGTAGCCAAACAACATCTACTAGAGCAAAACTCTTTCTGAGGGCAGGGGCTTGACCATTCCTGAACCATTTTGTGGGCTTCATGGCTCTTGTTTAACCCCAGAATGAAAAAATCCAAGATTATTGCCAGTTTTGGAAAAATTTGGCCACAGCTTTCCACTTTGGAATACCTGAATTGAACTGAGAGTTGGATAACTGCATAGTGTGAAGAATATGACAATTGCCAAAAGAACTGTATTTACATTGCATTTCATATCTTTATTAATATAATTTTATTTGTAAGTTAGGCACACCTCTAGGGTAAAGGTTTAACCAATAGATGTAGTTTTTACACTTTTAAAAAGTGGCACGTGGAAACAAAACATTTCAGTATTCAGAGCATTAAAAGATTTACTTATTTTAGTGTTCTAAGATGAGAAGTTGTTGTTACTTGAATTGGTGTAAAACTACCTGATCATCTCAAACTATGTATTAAGATGTAGTTTATATTAAAGCAAAAAGGAACCCTGAAGTTTATTGTAACAGGCTGCCTGACTTCTTGTATCTGTATCAAATTTGCTGTGCAAAAATTCTGTATCAGAATAATGGCAGTGTATGATTTGATTTATTTTAATATTATAACATTATTTTGTCATTGTGGTTTTTCATTTTTATTCAGTGTAATCTGTTATCCCATACTTGATTCACCCAAGCTAGCAGAGCTCCTTATGGATAGCTTAGCAAAAGATTATGTGCCTCTGGCTGCTTCTTGGGAAACTTGTAGTTTACAAGGCATGAATTCCTCAATGAAGCTGCAGTTTCAGAATTTGGAGGAATCTTGGTGTAAATAATACAAGAGGTTTTTCTTGGCTTGTCCCTAAAAGGACCAACTTTAGCCCAGCAAACATAAGATTTGTGGGTTTTCTATGAAACACTGTGTGACTTCATATTTACTTGTCAGTCCCCAGAGCTGGAATTCCAACAGTTTGTGTGAGATTCACATGTTTCTTGCTCTCAGACATGCAAACATATGCTGGAACTGGAAAAGTGAAGTCATTCATCTTTCAACAATCAGTGCTTTGCTGCTGGTGGAAATGGGGGGGTTGGATAAGTGAGCACTGTGTCAAGGCCAGACCTGTAAAACTGACAGGAGAAACATCCCTGGGAGTTACCAGGTACCTTCTACTGGGCTCCACAACCTTTCTTGGGAGACAGAAAAGAATAACTGGATTAGTTATTGCCAGATCTTCATGGATTCTGCATGTGTTAGGGAAATAAAAGTCTTGAGAGAGATTGTATCCTCCTGGCTGAAGACAGCCCATCCCCAGGGTACCCACTCCAGTGCCTCTGAATTTTGAATTTTGTCTCCCCCTTTGCAGTGGTGATACTGCAGCTGTGCAAGTGGTGATAGAAAAAAAAACTAAAAGAGGACTGAAGTGCCACTAAAGGATAATTTTACATCTGGTTTGCATTAATGTGATCAGGTACAAAGTGCCTGTATTAGATCTGAGGTCTCAGAGGGGCTCAACACTAACCCAAAGGGCTGGTGAAAGGCCAAGTCATTTATTGAGTTCAAAGTGACATGACAGCACTGCAGAAATTCCCACAACCTGGATTTAAAACCAACCCCCAAGCCTGGTTCTACCATTGTCACTAAATAGAGGGGCTCCCCAAACACCCTGTGCACCCCCAAAGGCTGGGTTTGCAGAGGAGGAGCACACTGGAAGCGTGAGCGTTGCTTTTCTCCCCATGTCTGTCCCCATGAAATAAGCTCAATATAATGGACTTCAATTTACACAAAATCAAGAAGAAAAATAGGAGCAGTCCAAAAGTGCCTGTGTCCCATCTCTTGCTCCATTTTTTAAAATCAGAGCATGAAAAATGAACCATGGGAGGAAACAGTAGCCCTGCTCCTCATCTCCTGCTGGCCTAATTCACCAGTGCCTCCACTGAAGGCAGGAGCCCTGGTTTATGTCATTGTAAAAGAGTGGACACTTGTACCTAAGGACTGCCTCAGACCTGCCAAATCCTAGGAGAGTTTATCAGAAAAGAGCAGAGCAACTTCACAGTGTAATTTGTGCCAATTAACTTGTGGGATGAAGCATTTATCTAGGTAATGAGAACAGCCCCAATTACACAAGTTCAAAGTTCACACCATCTATAGCAGGGGAAGCTCCTGTGTCCTGCAGACACTCCTGGACAGGGTATTTGGATTGTGCAGCTTTGAGAGATGCCTTATTCCATACTCATCCTTGAGGGGCTTCTCCACACCTTCCCTGCTGATGTAGGAGAGATAAAGGCAAAACCTCACTGTCCTACATCCCTACTATATTCACTTGGCAATAATTATTCCGATTCCCCTTTTAGTAATTTAATTTCCATTAATTGACACTCACAGTGGAGGTTAGTTGATTTGAGAGAATCTTTCTGGAAAGAAGATTAAGCTTTTGCATCCCCATTATTTCCTAAACTCTGCCCTAATCAATTATCTTTTCTCCCATCCTAGGGGAGATTTCCTCTCCCAAGCACACCTGCAAAGGCCCTTTAATTTCTGTCTGCAATGGAAGGGGCTGGGAGGGCACCCTTTACCTTTGCTTTACACTGATAATAGGCAAACCAGTGACCACAAGCATTTCCAAATGTGAATGGCCCTGCAGCCCCCTCTGCTTTTTCCTGGAGCCAGCTTTGAGGAGCACAGCAAATGACTCAGGATGACCCACAGAAAAGGTGGCCAGCCTCAAGCCAACCTGCCACAAAAGGTTTTCTGTAGTGCCCTGTTATCTCAGGCCAGGGACAGCTTCCTCACCTGCCTTGAAGGGAGGAAGGGGACAGGCCCTTGCAGGAGAAATCAGATGAGAAAATAGAACAGAACTTGTGCAGCCCTGGAACCTCCTTGGTGCAGGGGAAAAGCCTCATTCCCCATACCCACAGCTTGTGAAGAGAGAGGCTGGTTTAAACACTTCCCTTTATTCACTGCACTTAGATCTGTGCCAACATGTGTTTTAACTTTATTAATATTGCAGTAATTTCATTATTAATAGAAACGTGTGCATTAATTTTTAATATTATATGAATATTGATATTACAGATATGCTATAGAATAATGTTGATATCCCACCACACTGGAGGCATTTCCATGTTTATTGCCAGATTTTGGGTTAGCAGAGAGGCCTTGCAGGAAAGAGCACCCTCACATATAATGAGTTGCTGCCTTAATTTGATTAGGTGCTTATTAGGAGAGGGCAAGCAAGGTGTTTGGGGTTTGAGGGTGCACAGCTGGCTGAGCCAGTGCACACTTGTGAGCCTGGGGGAGTGCAGGGAAGGCTCTGCTGCTGAGCACCAGCAAGCCCAGCTGAAACTCAGCTTCATCTGCATCCTCCTGCCCACAATTCACCCTGGAAATTTTTGCCAATTCAAAAAAACAGTGTTACAGAGGTGACACAAAAGTAAATTGTTCTGGTTGTGTGGTAAGGGGGGGACTCAAATGTGAGTGGGTGCATGCAGAAGAGACAGGTCAAATACTGGTTTGACAGAACTAGTAACAAAAGGAGATGAACTGGCTGAAGGTCACCATGGTGTTTGGGAAGATAAAAGGGAATAATGCATATCTTTCTGGAGAACACTTCAAGGTAAGAAAAGCGATTATTGTTGGTACTGTTAGTTTGTAGCTGTGTGGGAAACTGTAGCCTTGTTGTGACCCCCAAAGCTCTAGTGTGTGTTTGAAGATCGTGTAACATTCCTTGTCAAGAGGGACTGAGCTCATTTTCTCCATCAGCACAATCCACCAAACCAAAGGATGACAGCAGCAAGTGTGACCCCAGACCAAGGTCCTTGCCAGTGCCTCCCCCTACCCCAACAGCTCTGGGATTTGTTGTTTCTGCACAGATGGATATTCAAAAGAAACAGAAGGTGCTAAGAATCCCTTGATTTAAACAAGATGTCTCAGGATTTTGATCCTGACAATGTGTAATGTGTTTTCCAGAAGGAATTAGAAAATTGCAGGAAAAGAATAGACTGTGCAAATGCAAGAGGATTTTGGTAACAGCAAAATCAATGTGCCTTTCTCTGTTACATAGATATGAAATGGCAAACCAGCAGGGGTACAGTCATTAGACTGATCAATAATTCTGAGCACAGGAATGGAGATGAGTTTAATGCACATCAGCAAATCACCTGTGGTTTCTCAAGGAGAGTCTTGAGTGCAGGCAGACCTAGCCCAGTGCAGTAGGACACATTCCAAGGATTTGGCAGGGCAGCTTTCCCCATGTGGCATGTCTGCCTTGGAGGATGGTGGCAGCCTTTGGGTCACTCTGCCTGCTCATCAGGGCTGGGAAAGGCTGGCTGTGAAAGGCTGAAGCTGAGCAATCCTGCTGCACTGAAGGGAGAAGGATGGATGGCAGCTTGTTCTGTGACAAGATGTACAATGCAGGGTGACAGCAAAGTGTGCAGGAGAGGAGGAAAGAGCAATATAACCACAGAGGACAGGCGTAAACCCCCCTGTGGCAGGGGTTTCCCAAAAATCTGAGTGTGAGAAGCTTAGTGGGGCAGAAAATGAAGGCAAGCACAATGTCAAAAGGACAGAAAGACTCCTCTGCAAAACCTGGGAAACTCTGTGTATATTAATTGTGTGCCAGGAGTTCCCAGAGCACCCAGACTGATGCTCCACCCCAAACACCTTGCTTCCCCTTTCCTAATAAGCATGTAATCAAATCAAGGCACCAGATATCAGCTAGTTACAGGCATGTCCCTGTCCCCAGAAGTTCACAAATCTCCCAGACCACTCAGGGCAAGTGCCTGTGCTGCACTTAGAGTGTACCTGCACCAC